TTAAGGCGCCTTAACGTGCTTACTTGAGTAGTGAAATAGGATGTCCTAATTACTTAAGGTATACTTAAGGCGTTACTTAAGTTTAAGGCGCAATTTGCTCCTATGAAACAGGCCCATTCATTCGATTGCGATTCGAGAGAAAGTGGTTGAAGTTGTTGCTGATGAAGGTCTTTCGCCAAGGTCGAGACAATGCACTATGGATGAATCTTCAGTGGTGGCTTATAATATACAGCACGGTAGGATATATATCTTACAATGGAAGATTCTGACTCTGCCAGTCTGTCTCTGTGAGGGCGAGTCGGACTGTCCGTCGGATCAGGCGAGAGTTCTTCGGACAGTGTCCGGAGAAATCTCCCCTTGTTTCGCGTATACTCTAATTGGACAGCAATTACCCTTCCTGCAAGAACTTGGCTTTCTCTCGCTGAGACTCCCTGTTTTCAGGAGCTGCTTCCCATTCATTCACGTGGATATCATCGTATAGGGCTCTCCAGGATACTCAGGACCCCAGGAGTATATAGGGTCAGTTAAAGCACCTGCGTGGTTGGTAAGACTCGTTACTTTGTGGTTGTACAGCAGGGGCGTACCGGGCAACTGACTGCCATAGTCTAGGGTTTTTCAACCAGACATTGGCGGACACTATCTTTATAATAACCTCACCGGCTTCGGGGCTAGGTGGGTGAGGCAGTTTGGATGGTTGGCCATATTATGGTGTTATTTGCGACAAATTTGGTATTGGGAGAAGGCAATGCATGCCTAGATCACGAAAGATGTTGGAAAGTAGATAATCCCTAATAGGTTGTTTCGTCGAAGTTTGTCCTTCATGCTTTGTCATGACACTAGAAGAAAATTTCAGAGCTCGAGAAAGCAGGTGAGCGCGTCATAGATGATGGCTTGGTGTTCAACGGTGCTTGTGTCGCTACTTGCCAGTGTGTTGCGTAGTAGTAGTGGAGTCGGGATGGTGGGGGTGGGTTGTTATAGTTGGGGATATCCTCATCATGCAAGGACAGTCCTCGTCGTCGTCATCATCGTCCAGTCATAAACGGAGGAGAGGGGGAGATGGGAAGAAGGATGATGATGATCATCAGCACCAGCATTCGGGAAATTCGGATGATATGCGCGCGGTAATGTTGGGTACGATTGGTGCATGAAAATCCTCATCGTGAGTTTATGAGTGTTGAGAGATATGTGAGAGGCCGACAGAAGTTGTTGTTGGTGCTGTTAAGTAGAGACGGATGTCTTCTCACGAGGTCGCGATAATGAGTGGACGAGAATAAATTTCTTCTCGAGCTGGGGTCGATAGCTTCCTTCTAGGTTTCAGCAGCTTAGTTGCCGCAACCGTGTTGGAGGTTTTTGCTCAGGCATTCGAGAGAGCTCGAGTGGAGAGTAGACGAGCCTATCTTGATAAACGTGAGGCTGATATTGAGCTCCTCCGGAAGAAACAATTCCGCGCCTTGGATGATGTGTATTCGTAAGCAACGTTGGAGTCGTTCGAACCTTCCAGAGTTTTCTTCGTAGGACGGGGGCAGCGGATAAGCGCATACGAGGTGAATTGGAACAGGATAGGTATCTGTACGATCAAGCCTTGCATAATAAGGTCGGCTTTGAAGTGAGGGAGGGGGAAGGAAAATTTGGTGTGTGCTCAGGCCCTGAGAGGGAAGGACTTGACTGGAAATTATATGATGCCGGACGTCCAAGATGAGTTCGAGCAGAAGAAGGGGCAGTTGAGTCAGAGAGAGCAACGAGTGCAGGCTCTTACCCGGGCTAGGTGCGTGCGGGCCATGGTGTTGTATATAGAAGTTGAAGTTGAAGTTGGGATTTTTCTCATTACCTTGGAATGTAGAGAAACCAACGAGAAATTTCCGGCATTTCCTCAGAATTTTTTGTCGTATTTTCGTTAGCCGTGTGCATATTTTATGTCAGGTATGATGATGATGTTGATAAGTATGAGAAAAGCGAACAACAGTTGCTTGAGGAGAAGCAGATGCATGCAGGTGAGGAGGGTTGAAGTTGGTCAGGGAGCGGTAGTAGTGGTTGTGGTAGGCACGTTTAGGGTGGGGACTGTTCGGGACGAGGGTAAGAAGGAAGAGGAGGATCCTTATCAGCTTATATTGGATAATCAGATCAAGTTCGTAGAGTCTGAGGTAGTACTGGAAGAAGTAGTAGGGAAGTTTACATGGTGCTTGTGAAGATTCATGGAGGGGATATGAGCAGTGTGAAGCTTGAGGGGAGTAAGAAGGAGAAATTGGCTAAGGTGAAATACCTCAAGACGTAAGCGTGCTAGGCTTTCAACCTGGAGGTCGTGGGATCGATTCATGGTTGTGTATTTTAGCGAGTCCGGCGGCGTTGTCAAGATGGAGGATGGGGAGGTGGCGAAGAGTGCTTTGCAGAGGATGTCGGCCAAGGAGAAGGCGGCCCTCATAGCTGAAGCCCGCAGAGTGAAGCTCCAACACGACAGGTCAGTTTGGTATATCAAGAGTTGGTTCAGGGATAGCGGTGGGGAAACGTATCGTCACTGTGGAAAGCGCTTAGTTGTAGTTATACTCCTGCGCAGTGTGGTAAAATATGCACGTGTTGGTGACAATATCAAAGCGCTGAGAAAAATTAGGAAAATTCTTGTTATTTTCTGTACACTCCTCGAATATTCTCCCAATTCGTATATGGCCTCCTATGATTAGTGAGAAAGGTATTGAGCTCAGCTGAGGAAAGCGAAAATTTTTTTGGACTCATTTGGTGGTGATGGAGAATTTGCTGCTAAGTTGTGGCATTCAGACGGTCATTGCCGATTTTCAAGTATCGCGATGATTTGATCGACGCTGTGAAGAAGTATCCGGTCCTGGTCTTGGTGGGTGAGACGGGCTCTGGCAAGACTACGCAGATGCCGCAGTACTTGCACGAGGTGGGTCCTGTTGGACGCGGGGGTTTACTTGTGCGATAAGAGTATGTTCATCCACTTTCTCATGGTTGTATACGATTAGGATGAGATGAATTTGCGGTATGAAATGTGTATTGGGAAAATATGCATATTGTCAACTACATGTGTTGGTGACAACATGAGAATTCTGAGAAATTTTTTGGTAACTTCTTATTGGTGTATTACCACTTATATTTGAATTCGTATGGAAAGTAGTATAACTGGAGGGAATCGAACACGTTCTACAACAGTCAGTCTAGGCGAGAAATTAATGTGGTAAAAATGACCCCTGTGGGGATCGAACCTGAGAGCCCAAAACTGATGCATAAAGAAACTCGTCCTTCCCCTGCGTTTTCAGGCTGGCTATACGAAGTTTGGTAAAATTGGCTGTACTCAGCCGAGGCGTGTCGCTGCTATGTCGGTCGCTGCTCGAGTGAGCGACGAGATGGGCGTTAAACTCGGGCATGAGGTGGGATACAGTATCAGGTGAGTTTAAGGCATGGGAGAATTTCCAACGTATCGGCGGCCTCTGTGTAGGTTCGAGGATAAGACCTCTGACTCTACCATTATCAAGTATATGACTGATGGCATGCTCCTCCGTGAATTCCTGGGCGAACCGGATTTGGCTTCATATAGTGTTATGATCATTGACGAGGTAGGTTCATGAGGAAGGACAGGGACAGGGAATCACCTAGGAATCTTCAATGCTCCCAGGAGCAATCCATCATTGACTTTTCCGTATGGCTAGGAACGCATTCTTCAATTCGTTTCTCATGTAAATGTCTCCCATTGTTATCAAACCCTGGGAAGCCTTTGTCAAAGCTTTCTCTGGCCGGGAAGTGTTTGTGGAATTATGGTGTGCTCAGGCTCATGAACGTACCCTGCATACTGATATACTGTTCGGGTTGGTGAAGGATCTGCTCGCCTTCAGAAAGGACTTTAAGGTTGGTATTGGTCGAAGTACTCTTGTTTTAGTTCTGCGTAGGTGATTATCTCGTCGGCTACGATAGATGCCCAGAAGTTCAGCATGTATTTTGAGAATGCTCCCATATTCAATGTAAGACGCCTTTACCACTGAGATGAGAGAGATGTGGTATTAGGTACCTGGACGGAGGTATCCTGTCACTATTCATTACACTATAGCGCCTGAGGCTAACTACAT